TGAAGTATTTTATTCTTTTTTATGCTATTGTAAGCAGAATTGTTATCTTAATTTCATATCCACATTGCCCATTGCTAGTATAGTAAAACCTCAGATTGCAAGTAACTTGGTTTGTGAGTATTCCACAAAACAAGCAAACATTTCTAATACATTTTAACATGGTAAACGAGCGATGTCTTACAATACAGGTAGTTTGTTTCTGAAATGAATTATGCTCGCAAACCAAAGTATTACTGTATATAGAAATACAATTGATTTTTGTACATTGATCTTGTATCCCGCAACTTTGCTGAACTTGTTTATTCTAATAGTGTGTGTGTGTGTGTGTGTGTGTGTGTGTGTGTGTGAATCCTACTTGTTATATCTCTAGAGCACTTAACACAGTGTCTAGCCTTAACTAGTATTGAATCCATTTGTATTCCTTGAATTGATCTTCTTAAATGCCACATTGCCACAGAAGCCTTCCAACCACTGAGTAATTTTCCAGTTACTAGTAGCGTTGAATCATTTTTTCCCCCTTTACTCTTATCTATAGGCTTGGGAACAATGGGTCGAGGCATTGTCGTTTCTCTCGCAAAGGCCAAGATCCCCGTGATTGCCGTAGAATCAGACAAGCAGCAGCTAGAAGATGCAAACAGGGTAATAACCTCCCTCTTAGAAAAGGAACGAGCCAAAATGGAACAGAGCAGCCACTCTTGGTCAGGACCAAAACCCAGGTTATCTACATCTATGAAAGAGCTTGGTGGTGTCGATTTAGTCATTGAAGCAGTATTTGAAGACATGAACCTGAAGAAACAGGTCTTTGCCCAACTGTCAGCTGTGTGCAAGCCAGAAGCTTTTTTGTGCACCAATACGTCAGCCCTGGACATTGATGAGATCGCTTCTTCTACCAATCATCCTCACTTGGTCATTGGCACCCATTTCTTCTCCCCAGCTCATGTCATGAAGTTGTTAGAAGTTATTCCCAGTCGATACTCTTCCCCTACTACCATTGCCACTGTTATGGATTTATCAAAAAAGATCAACAAAATTGGAGTAGTTGTAGGCAACTGTTTTGGATTTGTTGGGAATCGGATGTTGCGTTCTTATTACAATCAGACCTATTTCTTGTTAGAAGACGGCAGTAAGCCAGAGGAGATAGATCAGGTGCTGGAAGACTTTGGTTTCAAAATGGGACCTTTTAGAGTGTCTGATCTTGCTGGGTTAGATGTGGGTTGGAAATCTCGAAAGGGGCAAGGTCTAACTGGACCTACGTTGCCTCCAGGAACTCCTGCCCGAAAGCGAGGCAACGGGAGATATTGCCCAATTCCTGATATGCTCTGTGAATCAGGACGATTTGGCCAAAAGACGGGTAAGGGTTGGTACCAATATGACAAGCCACTGGGTAGGATTCACAAACCTGATCCCTGGATTTCCAAATTTCTGTCACAGTACAGAGAAACCTACCACATTAACCCACGTATCATTAGCCAGGATGAGATCCTTGAGCGCTGCTTATATTCACTCATAAATGAAGCATTCCGTATCTTGGAAGAAGGGATGATTGCTAGCCCAGAGCACATTGATGTTGTCTATTTACATGGGTATGGGTGGCCAAGGCATACGGGTGGGCCCATGTTCTATGCTTCCACAGTTGGGTTGCCCACAGTGCTAGAGAAGTTGCAGAAATATTACAGGCAGAATCCTGATATTCCCCAACTGGAACCTTGTAACTATCTGAAAAAATTGGCTTCCCAAGGAAACCCTCCTCTGAAAGAATGGCAAAGCTTGGCAGGACCCCCCATAAGTAAATTGTGATTCAGCTGTCAAGGTTATGCCTCACATGCAGGCGTGAGATAATGCTCACTGAATTTCATTGAAATTAAACCTAAAGACCCAAAATAAGATTGCTCTGAAATACAAAGCAAAAGAAATAATCAGTCAGCTAAACCTCTTTGGGTCTTCTGTCTGATGATTCCAATGGGTCAACTATTCAGTAATGTGCTTTCTATGCCTCTGAATCTGTCCCTATCAGATTAATTATTTCAATTCCAATGAATAGACACATGTTAATACCGTAACAGGTAAGGAGGAGGCTCAGGAATAAGTTGAGGGTCTCAAGTGCTTTTATCATTGAAGAGAGATGTCATCAATAAATAACTGATAAAAGCAACTAAGTCATAAATTCATTTTGACTCCCTTCAATCTCACAGTGCTTATAGGAAATCTCATGCATCCTTCATCAGTAAACATTCATCGTGCCTCTCTGAGCACCTTTCACCGCACCAGGCAGACCTAGAGTCCAAATGGGCATTAACTCAGCATGGATGGCTGTGACGACCTTTAGTCCAGAGTTTCTGAGGGAGAGTAGGAACCAGAGAGAGGGGCAGGGTATCAAAGGCAGAACAGAGTTGAAGTTGTAGGAGAAACACAGTTGGGAACTGGTAAGGAAACCAAGTACTTCAGACCAGAACAGGGAACTCAGAGTAACTTGGCAAGTCATGCTCAATATATCACCTCTGTCCAAGGCCCAGTCACATGTGCACAGTTGAGCTTGCTGCCTGCAAAGGTTCAGTAATGTTTGTTGATAATTTCCTCAAGATCAGGGGATGTCCACAACCTGGTCTTTCTTTACTCTTCTATTCATGGAGAAATAACACATAGTAGTAAGTTGTTGACTTAGTGCAAGAAGGGATCTTAGAGAACATCTGACCTCCTCTGACCCTCTGATAGAGTCATGATGCCACTTTTCCTGTCATGGTAAGCCTTTGCAATGTTGGGTATAGAAATGGTTGAGTCTTGAAAAATCTAAAAGTATTGCAAAACAAATTTTGTGAATTTTGTTATAATTATAAGACTTCTCTTTTAACTTTTTTGTGTGGTTAAAAGTTGAGGCATTGGTCAACACAAAAACTTATATACAAATGTTTATAGCAGAATTATTCATAATAATTCTCCAAATTGGAAACAACCTAAATGTCCAGTACTGATGGATGGGAAAACAAAGTATGGAATAGCCCAGCAATAGAATATTTGGCCATAAAAAGAGATGAAGTACTGATACATACTACAATGTGATGAGCCTTGAAAATATTATGCTAAGCGAAAGAAGCCAGTTACAAAAGGCTGCATATGGTATGAAAATTTATATGAAATGTTCAGAATAGGCAAATCTATAGAAATCTATGGAAATCAGATTAGAGGTTGCCTAAGGCTGGAATGATTTGGGGTGGGGGGAATGGGCAGTGATAGCTAATTAGGGTACAGGGTTTCTTTTGGGGTTGATGAAAATGTTCTGAAATTATTGTTATGGTGGTTACATGACTCTGTGAATCAACTAAAAACCATTGAGTTATACATCTTAACTAGGTTAATTATATGGTATGTGAATTATCTCAATAAAGTTGTTAATAAATAAGTAAAAAAACAAATGGGCTCAAGTTGTTGTCCTTCAGTGTGATGTAAAGGAACTGTTTTCACAATATTTTCACCTGTGAACCTAAATAAAACTATTAAAAGTTCTGATAGAGGAATCTTGAATGAATATAGTATAAGTTTTCTATTGGAAAACAAAAACAAAAAAACCCCTCAAAACACCCCTAGAGTGTGCCTCTAATTGCAGTTGTATTTAGAATAATTTTTAAGATGAATATTGCTGGAGTCTATATAAATTTGTCTTTGAAATTAAAGACAGCAATAGAAAAGATTCCTGAAAGTAGTAACTTTCTCTTTAAAGTGACTTATTTTCAAATTAATGTAAACACACACACACACACACACACACACACACACACACACACTTTTTCTTCTTGAGACCTTGAGTGGATTTTGAGTTCTTGAAACTCATTTTCACCCTATGCTCTCCTCTAGATTGCAGCTTTGAAACTATAGTGTCTATGATTAGATTTTATGAATCAATAACCCCTGAAATTTTATGCTAATGTTTGTGTATACGTGTCTAAATGCATTTCTCAGAAGAGATACCATATCTTACATCATATTCTCAAAAGTGTTTATGACCTAATAGAGGTTAAGGACCAATACTCTATATAGAAATAAAATAGGAAGAAGAAATATGAGTTTATTTGTTATCAAAGGAGAAAAACCTAATTCCAATTTGTTGGGTCCTACATACAACAATGGTCAATATGATGAAACCTTTCCAAAATATAATTGAAACTGTACTTGCTTAAAAGGCTTATTTTGTTGTTAATAATTTTAAAACTACCTTTAAAAAAATAGCTTCTGAATGACGTTTTAAAAATGTGTTCTAATGGTAATTGACTCTGATGAGATATATTAGAAGCACCCTTGAAGCTTTGCCATCATACTCCAGCTTTACAGATGAGACTAATGATGTTGCTTAAATCAGTAAAGCCACAGCAGCTGCAGTTGCCACCTACTTACTCATTTCCAACAGGAACAGGTGTGTGTGAGAGCGATAAAGTGAGGGATCCTAAACTCCTCTGATTAATGATGTTACAGAATTGTGTATGCAAATCATACTCCACAGCACTGTAGGAACCCGGTATTTCTAGGGTCTTCCATTTGTCTTTAAAACAGACACTGATAAATCAGAAATATTGTAGGCTCACAAGATTGTCTGAACCCTTTTGATAGCCATTGATGAAATTAATATAAACCAAGTTCTCTGAACTGATTAAAAATAGCTTTCTGCAAGAACAGAATAATCTTTGACTAGTCTTGGGATTACCAGTGCTATCTGCTTATCTTGCCATCTTATATATCTTAACAGACAAATTACACCACTTCCTGGCAGGATGGCAGCATCTGAGGGAGCCATTCATACTGAGGTCCAAGGGGTTGCCATTCACATGGAGATAATGAACACCTTAATGTTGCCAGGGCATTTCGTGTAGAGAGTTCAAGCCCAAAACTCTTTCTTCTGTTTATTGCTGTATCTTTTTTTTTTTTTTTAGCTGAGCCATCTTGCCACCTGTTGGCAGCTCAGCAGCAGCTCAGCTCAGGCCGGGAATCGAACCACTGTTGCTCAGAGCTTAAACTCTTGAGCGAGCTCTTAACCAACTAAGCCACTCAACCGGCCCTGTAAGTATGTTTCTAAACAAGTTAGTTGACAAAAGTAGAGGGAAAGTCTCCATTTGGATTTGTGTCCCCAATGTGACCAAATTTTTAGAAAGATTGCATCTTATCTGTTCTTAGTATTTTTTTTTTTCTCACACCCTGAGAAAGGAGAACATGAGAGATGCACAGGGCTTTTGATTTTTGTTCAAAGAATTTCATGGCACTTCAGTTGTAAATGTACTTGTTCTCTTTCACCAAACTTTAAATAATGGCAGAATAAGTATCTGAAAGCACCTGATAAGATTGCATGAGCAGAGCTGATGCAATCTACCTTGCGTACATCTTTCATAGTTAGGGTTAGTCCACCTTCTCTAAGAGGAAGCAGTTGCTAACAGAAGCAGTTGCTAATTCTAGCCATAATGTGAGATCCTTAGGATGGGGTAGGGCAAAACCTTCTCCAACCAAATCATAAGTGCACTGGATGCCCAAAGCCTGCCAACGCCTATAGAGTTGATGATTTGTAAATTTTGGCAGGGATTGTTGGCTATCCCCCAATGTTTGTCTTCTTTTGTAGTAATAAACTGTTCCAATTTTTAGATTTGGTTGCTCAACATCACACAGTATATTTGTCAACTTCTCATGAATCCAAGAGAATATGTGACTAAGATCCAGACAATGGGATGTAAGTGAAAGCATCACATGGCAGCTTTTGGGAACCTATCTTAAGACTCAGGTGATGCCCATTTCTTTTTTGTCTATTCCTCCATCTTGCTGCCTGGAACACAGATGTGATGGCTGGAGTTTGACTCACCATTTTGGGCTGTGAGGATAAAGATCATGCCCCAGGGATAGCAGAATGGAGGGATATAAAGAGCTTGGTCCCTGAGGACCTCATGAAGCAGGGTTAATTCTCTGTCTTCCAACAAGCATTTATATGAGAAAGAAAGCAATTGCTATAATGGATAAGCCAGTGTTACCGTAGGTCTTTAAATACTCACAGCTAACGCTAATTCTAACTAACGCAGGTGGGGCCCAAGAATTATTGGGGGTGGGGGAGAGGGTGTTTGTTTTTTGTTTTCTTTTTGTTTTTCTCAGTATCATAGGTAAGTCTGATGCACAGGCAGTTTTGAAAATCTAGTCTCATTAAACAGGATTTCTTGTTTTAAGAATTTTTTCTTCTGCCAGTGTGATGTGTTTTTCAATTCCAAGTTGAATTGCTCATAAATTTTTATGTTATGTTTCACATTTAATTGTTGCCTGCAGTTCATGGAGACATCAGTCAGAACCTGAGAATAGGAGTTTAAATCAATATTTAGTAGGAAACAGTCTCACAGCCCTACTTGAACCTCAAATTGACTCCTACTCAATTAGAGATAAAAAACACTCACAAAGAAAGTGTGTATTATCAGAAGAAAAGGGGGGGTCAACAATGGCACAAAGGAAAAGAAGAGCAATTCGAGAAGCAATATCTCTCAGCACTGACCAAACAGCGGTGCTGAAGCTGGGGTGCACCAACCGTCTGCTCACTAGATCAGAGATCTCCAAAATGGGGTGCCCCTACCCACGGCAGCGTGAAAGACAATCCATACAGGTGCAGAAAGAAAATATTTAGAACTACTGTTACTACTTATTTTTGTCTAAAAAATAAGAAATTAATATTTCATGTACATGTGGACACTGTTGTTCTCACCAGGTGGCATCTCAGACAGCCAAATGTCAGGAATGGAGTTTCCTGAGGGAAGACAGCAAGTTCCAAAATGCAAAGAGGTTGACAGCGGTGTCCTCCCTCTTACATTTGCTTTCAGCATATTGAGAAATATTGCAAATTGTGTATGCTGGGGGAAGCAGATATTTGGACTCAATTATTTAATTAAATTAACCCTTACAAAAGATTCCTTGAAAGAAAGCAGAGTTGAAGATAATATAAATAATGCAAACAAGGGTGAGCAACAAGAAAATGGCAGAGCTGGTAGTTCTGGTGTCAGCTTTCAGCTGCATGGCAAGGATAATTTAGTCAGATCTGGCAAGAAGTTGACCAAGAAATTTTGAAATTATCAAGAAGATTATTAGAAATATTGATTTATAACCTACCATTTGTGATGAAGTTAATAGCACGAAACAATCACCTATTAGCAAAATTTCTTAATATTTTGTTTATTTCATTATATCATTTTTTACAAATTTCTATTTTATTGTGGTTTTCTTTATTAAAGATTTTTATTGGGGAATTGGGGTGATGGGAACAGTGCTGGGGAATTGGGG